AACAGCTTCATGGAACCCTCTTGGAATCTTCCAAGCCAGAAAAGACTCCATCAATGGCCGTAGCACAGCACAGATGTCAAAAGTGGATGGACAAACAGATAAGTCCATTACATGAACCTGTCAAAGAGCAACACGTGTTTGTGCCCTCAGGTAGTGTTCAGAAGGACACAGAGAAGCAAGGAGAAACTTTGTGCCAGCCACTGGGCTATGTTTCATCACGACCATCATTCTCAAGTGCCACTGCACTTGAAAGTTATAAACAGAAGCCTTCAAGCCCTCTCTCTGAACCTGTTTGGAAACCACCAACACTGGATTCCAAACCTTCAGAACTGAAGCCGTCCGTGAATTTATCACCAGGTAGCTCTCAGAAGGTGAGAGAGAGAGAGTCAGATGCTGTCCAGGGCTTGGATCAATCATCTTTGGGTCCTGTCTTTTCAGGACAAACTTTATTTACACCAGTAAAATCTGTGAAAGAAAAGGAGAGTCATCCAGTCCTTCTCCAAGACACTCTTTGGAAGCAACCACCACTAGGTTCTTCTCAAGTACAGATCCCACCTTCGACGGCTTTGGCCATTACCTTTCTTAAGGAAGAGGAAAAAGATTCTTTCTGGGGGCAGCCATTGGATTCCTCCCAATCAAAACAGACTTCTTTGGAATCAAACAGCTTTCCAAAAAGGAAGGAGAGACACATAACTCCACTTTCCGAGACTCCCTTAAGGAAACTAACTATGGGTTCTCCTGTCTTCCTTGCAACTCCTTTAGTATCCATTCCACCTGCCCACTGTCAGAAGCAGAGGCAGAAAAACCCTCTCAGTGGGCCAGGCTCCTCCTTTCCGAAGCAAAATTCTTCTGTAGCTATTAAAGATGACGTCTCTCGAAAGAAATGAAGACAGACCCTCTTCAGGCACCTGTCTGGTACAGACTGAACAGGCAGCCGGTACCTCTCCATGAGCCTGCCTGGGATTAAAATCATCAGATCCTTCTTTTCTAGAATGAACTCCACTGCCTCCATTGAAACTCTGAAGGACGAGAATGGGAGAAACACGTATTAGCTGGCTAGAAGAACGTGTGTTGAGGTCTCTTCCCTTCTAGAACAAATTCTATCAGTAATGGTTCCACCTGGTCTCATTAAAAATCAGCATTCCCAAGCCTCGAATGTGCCTGTTTCTTCAAATGTTTGGTTCTGTTACTTTTAATATTATCTACATTGGCTTGCAAATCATTCTGATGGAAGCCATTGCATTAACTATGTAAGTGCTTCAAAGGTAAAGTTAACAGAAAGGATACAAAGTACAATGGTGCAACATTGCTTTTGACTAAATGCACTTGTGTGCTTCACATGTTTAATACGCACCTATGAGCACTGTCACTTTGTACTTCTTCCCTTGTTCTGAGTTACTGCTTTGCAGAAGGGGTCAGTATACTACCAGTTCTACAGGAAACAGTGCATCTTATCAGGGATCACAAACCAATTCAAACATATGAAATCGATTCAGAAACCCCAAAGGAAGGAAGCCAAGGAAAATGGTGATCATCTAAGATCTATTAGCTTCTTAGTTTAAACACTAGATGTACTCTAATTTCTGCTCATTAGTCATGTTGCACCCATAACAAAGGCTTTCATCCCAAAGATGACACACCTTCCCATGCAACAATAACCAATGCCAACAAAAACTAGAGATGCCCCAATCATACTGCTCACACTGATGCAAATATTTCAAGATGAGACACACAATGATTCTTGGAAGATTATTCCACAGTTGAGATGATTCCATAGCTAAGTTGCCAGAATGGGGAAAAAGAGAGATGAAGGCTGCTGAAGAGCTTGCTATACATTATTAGGAGGACTCACCCGTCTTCACTAGACACTATCTGCATTCATTCTTTTTTGAAGCTGTCAGCAAGGGATGAATAGAAATCTAGAAGCTCTTCATGAACCTGTCTGGGAGAAACCATTGTTGGACTCAACCCCCCTAGAACATGTTCCTTCAGTAATTGTTCCACCCCGTGGAAATCTAACCAGAATCGCTAAAGAGCCAGGCCCTTTCCATGAAGCTGTTTGGGAACAGGAACTTTCTGAAGTCCTTTTGGACTTTTCCAGGCCAGAATGGACTCCAGGAGTCATGGCACAACAGAGATGTCAAGATTGGATGAACAAACAGATAAGCCCTCTTCATGAGCCTGTCTGGAATCAACCATCAGGTTCTTTATCTCCAGAACTGGTGTCACCAATTTTTATTCCACCTTGCATCTGTCAACAGGAGCAAAAGTCAGTAACTTCTGGCTTGGGCCAAAAGCCACTAGATCCCTTGGGAAAAGAAGAAAACTTTAAGAAGAAGAAAGGAAATTATCCAGGTCCTCTCCATGAACAAGTCTGGGAGCAACCATTATTGAACACCCCCCTTCCAGATGCTTTCCCCCCAGTGCTTATATCAACATCTGGCTATCAGAAAGGAAAGGAGAAGGAGCCAAAACCATCGTATGATATGAACCCGCACACCTTTGGATCTGTCTCTGCAGAACAAAGCTCCTCAAATATAAATAAACCTGGAAGTTCTAAGAAGGGGAAGGGGAGGTATCTAGGCCCCTTTCACGAGCCCACTTGGGAGCAGCCTATCCTGGAACCATCATTGGGCTCTTCCTTTCTGATACAGAGTCCATCTGTTGCCATTCCAGCTTCCACGCATGAGATGATGAATGAGACGGACTTTCACCCTGAGCAATCTTTACATACCTCTCAATCAAAGCATATTCCATTACTACCCAAAGTACCCAGCAGTAGTCACGTGTATGGAGGGAGATACTTAGGTCCACTTCATAAGACTAACTGGGAGGAACTACCAGTCACTTCTACACCACTCCTAAAGACTCCCTTGGCATCCATTCCGCCTGGCAGTTGCCAGACCAAGACAGACAGACAGGAAACCCATTTCAATGCATCAGGTTCTTTCCTCAAAAAGCAGAGTCAGCCAGTAGCCATTAAGCCTGGGAGTTCTTCAAAAGAGAAGGAGAAACAGCTAGGGCCTCTTCAAGCACCAGTCTGGTATAGATTGACCCGACATCCAGTCCCTCTCCATCAACCTGCTTGGGAATAAAGACCACTGAGCCTTTTCTTCCAAGGATGAGCTCCATCAATAGTTAACCCACTTAAAAGTTGTAAGAAGAAATTTACAGCTGTAAGAAGAATGGAGAAGCAATTAGGTTCATGAGTGATGGGTTACTTCCTCTTAGATTCTAGAATCGGTTCCACCAGTCACCGTTCCACCATCTGGCATTAAAAACAATGAGAATTGGGTCTCAAAATTGCTGGTTTTCTCCTTTCCTCCACCATCCTTAATTCCTCTGACATAGTTACATGATTGCAAAGCACTTTTGTGAATTAGAAGCAGATATTCCTTTAAAGCAGAGATCTTCAAACTTGGCAACTTGAAGACTTGTGGACTTCAACTCCCACAATTCCTCAGCCAGTCAGGGAATTAATCATGGTTCCATGTGTAGTGCTAAACTCCCCAGTGGCAGTTGGAGTGTTCCCCAAAGGAATAGTTGGCACTTGGAACTATAGGCATATATGTTTAGGCCCAGTTATAGGCCCGGCAATGGTGGCCTGTTCTGCTTCTCTAAAGGTAGTTTGCACAGTGCTGGGGAAAGTGCCAGAGCTTTCCACAGTGCCTTGCAGACCACGTTGGGGGAAGCAGAACGGATTGTTCTAACGCTGGGCTGCATGACCATGTTCCAAAAGCGTTGGCCATTTCAGCACAGTCCAGGAACACACTCAGAGATGGTCTGCCTTTCTTTCCCAGTGTGAAGTCCAGAGCTTCAGAAATCTTCAAAAGATAAGTATGCGATTGGTGATGGCGGGTAAGGAAGAGTCCAGAGCCTTTTGGGGAGCCAATGGGGGAGGAAACAGTTTGCAGAAACCCAATGGTGGTGGGGGGAAGCAGGCCCAAGGGCTGCGGGGACCCTGAGGTGGAGCCCAGGGTGTCTTGTAGGGTGCATTTGTGGGGGCTTGGGAAGCCCCAGGCAGATGGGCCTGTGCCTGTGCCGGGGCCTCACAAACCCTCATCCCATTCTCCACTTAATGACCCACATGTTCATTTAATCAGGGAGAGCTGGGGGTTGTTAAGTGAGACAATCTCATTAAATGGCCTTTACGGCAAATGATTGTAATGGACAGACTCCATTGCTGCCTTACACCCAGGACTACCTTATATTATTAAGTACCTAAAATAATTGCCTGTGTTTGAGAGCTATTCTGTAACTTTGTAAAATTTCAGTTTGCATGACTGAAGCAGTATACGCCCTTGTAATACATAAATAAACCTAGTGAAGTTTTTAAATGTCTTTTTATTTAATTGCTATGGTAAGATCTATAAACCAATAACAATGGTAAATTAAATAAGCAAGTTTGCATTCTGTAGGTACACACAGTGACACACACACACACTTACCCACCGACCCACTTGCACCCATGCATAACAGAGTTAAACTTATTCCAATATAGGTAGTCCTTGACTTACAACCATTCATTTAGTAACTGTTCAAAGTTATAGCAGCAGTGAAAAAAAATATTTTAACCATTGTTCACACTTATGAACATTGCAGTCCCCCCATGGTCACGTGATCAAAATTCAGAGGCTTGGCAATTGGCTCATATTTATAACGGTTGCAATGTCCTGAAGTGATGTGTGATCCCCTTCTGACAAACAAAGTCAATGGGGAAGCCAGATTCACTTTGCAACCGTGTTACTAACTTTGCCACTACAGTGATTCCCTTAACAACTGTGGCAAGCAAGGTCATAAAATGGGGCAAAACTCACTTAATAACGGACTAGCTTAGCAACAGAAATGTTGGGCTCAATTGTGGCCGTAAATCGAGGGGTCCTTATAAATCATAAAAAATGGGATGAACGGGAAAGGCTTGAGCTGAGCCTTTTTTTTTTTTGCATTGCGACTCGCCACCGCAGCGGCAGATTGCCGAGTTTGCGTGCCGGGCGTCACGCTGGGAGCTGGGTGGGGGAGCTCGAACAGGCGCTAGAGGGCGCCGCAGCCCCTCCGTCTCTCCCTCTGCCTCCTCCCAGCAGCTGAGCGAATGGAAACGGATCAGGAGCGCACGTTTCCTGAGTCGGGGAAGGAGCGGGGCGCGCTCTGATTGTTGAGTCCCGGCGCCGCGGGCGACTCTGGGCTGGAGCCGGAGGGAGGAGGCGTCCCAGCCGCCATCCTTGCAGCTCGGGCTGGCCGTCGCCCTGCCTAATTTGCTGCATTTCCCGCTCCCACTTCGCGGTCGCCTCCGGCAGCGTCGGGCTCGCCGCTCGCCGCCTTCCTCCTCCTCCTCCTTCCAGCCGCTGCGTTGCTCCGGGTTTCTGGTTGCATCGGGAACAAAGGAAGGGCATTTGCCCCCCTCCCGCTCCTCCCCGTCCCTCCCCTCCCCTCCCCTCCCTGTCCCTCTGGGCTCCCGACGCGTCTCTCAGCCGCGGGGGACAGCCGAATCGGCCGTGCCTTCCTCGTCCAACCGGAATCAAAATGTCTCGGCTGCTGCCGTCGAGGCCCCGCAGCCAGGCAGGGCTGCCGCCGCCGCTCCTGCTCCTCCTGCTCCTGGCCGGCCACATCGCCCGGGTAAGGGACATCTGCCGCGCCTTCGAGGCATCCCGGGTCGGCTCTCGTCCGCCAGGGCTGGGCCAGCTTTGGGGCGCTCCCCGTCTTCTCTTCCAGGCTTCCCCCTCGCTTCTGTTCCGCCTGGATCGCGTCTTCCGTGGGTGGTCGGGCGCATTTCTTCAGGCCTTTTTTTTTTTTTTTTTAAAGAGGGGGATTCTGAAGCGGGGAGGGGTGGGTCACTATAATGCGAGACTCCGGACTTCCCTGAGCGGCGAGGTGGGGGTGCTTTTTAAAAGAAGCGAATGCAGGGAATGAGAGGCGTTCCCAAGGCGGTAAACCAGTCCTGCTGAATGGGGGGGGGGGCGAGACCCCTCTAGGCATTTGGCTGCCGAGGGAAGGGTCTGGACGCCTACCCCAGAGTCGGGTCTTAACGGCTCCTCTGCTTTTAGGAGCATCTTTCTCTCCCTTGGCTGAGCGGGGCGGAGGGCGTATGTGGCTTGGAGGGGGGTGATGGAGAGAAAGAGGGGAGTCTGAATGAGCGGCAGCTGCCGCCGTTTGCAATGAGGGGGATCGGTGGGTGCGCCTGGTTTGAAGGAATTAGCCAGTGCCTCACACGCCCCCCCTTTGGGGGGGGGCTTGCATCAGGCTCCTGAACCCGAGAAGAGGATCGGGCCGGCTTGCTGGAGGGTACCGAACCGCTCCGAAGCAAGTCAAGGGAGTGTCCATCTCCCGGAGTGAATGGGTCTAGTTAGATCAGTGGTTCTCAACCTTTCTAATGCCGTGACCCCATAATACAGTTCCCCATGTTGTGGTGACCCCCAAGTGGGTGTGGCCACCAATAAGAGGGAGTAGGACAGCTAGGGAAAAGGGAAAAAAATGGCGGACAGTGTGGTTTGGAGACCCCCGTGAAATGGTCGTTCGACCCCAAATGGGGTCCCGACCCACAGGTTGAGAACCACTGAGTTAGATGCGGAGCGGGGGGGGGGCCCGTCTTGCATATTCCCAGGTCATCACGACGAAGGTTGCAGTTTTGCTGGAGAATTAAGACAACCTCCCCTTTCCTTCACTGGGGCTTATGTCTTGTTTTGTAGCTCTAGTTGCAAAAGCTGTAGTTGCAAAGGGAGAGGAGAAAGTATTATCTCCCCTGCCCCAATTTGAGTGCACAACTTGAGTCATTTGAACGGAGTCCAGCCACACCAAAGGGCATCTGCAAATCTTCAGCTCTCAGCTCTTTTTCCTGTGACCTGTACAAGCTCCCCTTTTGGGAGGGTGATGGGAGAGGGTGGGAGGTGGGGGTGGGGAAAGGTGAGCTATGATGTCATTTGAAGGTCGATAGGTTTGTATGGAGGGGGCATTTCCTCTCCTCCTGTAATTGCTTGGTTGTGTAGCTCTGGTGTCTTGTGTGTGTGTGGGGGGTGTGGGGGACAGAGGAAAGGATTATGTGTAGGATTATATGTAGAACGATATTTGCTTGTCAGCTCAGTGGGTCAAGGTCTTCAGGGAAATAGAGGGAGGGTTGAGTAGGGTGGGAGTGAACCATAATCCTCTCCGCTTACCTGTTCAGTCTTTCAGGGTTCAGCTCTCCTGTCCAGCAGAAGCAAAGTAAAAGTAATCAAAGAGAAAGTGCCTCCCGTTTGGATTTCTCTTCCAAAGTGGGGAAAGGATTGCCCACTCCCCTATCTAGAGAGACCTATGACTGCCTCATGGGCAAAAGCTGGAAAGGAGGGGTCTTGACAGGGGGGATGGAAATAGGGGCTGTTCAATGAATTCCATGGTCAGGGGATCCTATGTTACTTTCCCTCCTATGTTTTTAGGCCTCTGAAGCCGCCTGCAAAGGGTGTGGCTGGTGTTGGGGGGGGTGACATCATCAGAATGGGGCGTGGCTGAAAGCATCCATCCTTTTACACTTTGGGGAGGGGGTAAGGTTTAATAGAAGAAGGGTGTGTTAAGCCTATTGTTTTCATTGACCCTAGAAAATCATACTTCTTGGGGTGTGGAGGATGTCCACCTTTGGTATTTGCCCTGGGTAGGTGTGGCTTGAGGATATCATGAATTCTGAAGCTTTGACATTATTGAAGAGGTACTTTTTAACAAGGGGGTGTGTGGCTTTCAAAGGCCCCATTGCTCGCTAAGAGGGATAGAAGCAGTAGCCCATCTGGCAGAATAGCACATTCAATAGGCTGGTCTATCGAATGCAGTATGACATCAGTGGGGTTGTGAAAGCCTAGGGCAGGGGTCTGCAAGCTTGACAACTTTAAGACTTGTGGACTTCAGCTCCCAGAATTGCTCAGCCAGCTATGCTGGAAGCTAAAGTCCACAAGTCTTAAAGTTGTCAAGGTTGTAGACCCCCTGGCCTAGGGAAGAGACTGGGACTCAGGTTGAGGGCATACCACAGGTAGTCCTCAACTTACCACTACTATTGGGGCTAGTGAGTTGTGCTTGATTTTACCATCTTTTTTGCCATGGTTGTTAAATGATCAGCACAGTTAAGACAAATCCGGCTTTCCCCACTGACTTTGCTTGTTGGAAGCTGGTTGAGAGAATGCTGCAATCATTGTAAAAACAGCTGGTTGCCAAGCAACTGAATTTGGATCCTGTAACTTGGGGATGCTGCAACAGTTGTAAGTGTGAGTCGTAAGTCCTTTTTTTTCAGTGAAGTTGTAACTTCAAACTGCCACTAAATAAATGGTTGTAAGTCAAAGACTACCTGTACACCCGTGCAGAAGATCTCAAGATGTTTCTCTGGTAACCTATAATGAACAAGTCCTGAGTCTAAAGACTCCAGTGTAAAGCTGATCTGGGCTATCTGGCGATATTCTCTCTGTCCTGCATCCTTCTGCCCTGATTGCATGATGTTGGCCGTTGTTCAAATTGTTGGCCAGAGTGTTGCCAAGATGACTTCATGTTCTACATTCAGCTTACCTGAATGTTGGGAAGGATCGTCCTATGGCAGAATTTGTTTCTCCTAGTATAAATTCAGCCACCGTGAGCCTGATTCATGTGCCTTATTCATAGCCTCTGAGATCACTCTCAGATGCCTCCAGGATGTGGATGGGAAATTTAGTGGAGAAAAATCCTCTAAACTTCTTGTAGTTACTTTATTGCTGTCTTTGGCTGCTGTTGTGCCTGAAACTTTCTAATTCCTGTGTCTTAGAGTAAAGCTCCGTTAAAATCCATTGCTGTAGTGCCACAATGCAGGGTGAGAGGAACAGGCAAAGGAATGGGTTTGAGGGCACCAGAACTATGTATACTTCCATTATTAAATAAATGAAGTTCAGCCTTGCAACATTTCAGATTTATGATTATCTTAAACAGAGAGTCATAGGCAAAGTCCTCCCATAAATCATTGCAGATAATTGCAGGGTTTACTTGGGTTTTTTGGTGTGTATCTGTGGGGTAACTTGGAGTCGATTTGCAGTTTTCTTGGCAAGGTTTTTCAAAAGTGATTGGCCACTGCCTTCTTTTTCCTAGGGCTGAGAGAGTAGAGTAGAGTAGGAGATAGGAGATAGGAGATAGGATAGGATATAGGATAGGATAGGATTCTTTATTGGCTAAGTGTGATTGGACACACATACAAGCAACAGGTGATAAATCATGATCATAATTATAAAATACAATCATCATAAATCATAATATACAAAAATCAGTGATAGCCAGAGGATATTAAATAAACAATCAGCATAAATCATAGTGGGATACTAAATAAAAACAATAGAAATCATAAGATACAAGCAACAAAGTTATAGTCATAAGAAGATAAGGAAATAGGTAATAGGAAAGATGTGAGGGATAATAGTATACACTGTAGTTTGATAGTGTTGTGGGACTTAATCTAGTTGTTTTGGCATGCAATGCCCTATAGCGTCTTGAGGGAAGAAGTTGAAATAGTTTATGTCCAGGACGTGAAGGGTCTGTAGATATTTTCTTAGCCCTCTTTCTGACTTGTGAAATATACAGCTCCTCAGTGGAAAGCAGGCTGGTTGCAGCTGTTTTTTTTTCTGCAGTTTTAACTATCGTTGAAGTCTGTGTCTGTCTTGTTTGGCTGCAGTGCCAAACCAGACAGTTATAAAGGTGCAAATGGCAGACTCAATAATTCCTTTGTAGAACTGTATCAGCAGCTCCTTGGCCAATTTGAGCTTTCTGAGTTGGCGCAGGAAGAACATTCTTTGTTGTACGTTTTTGATGACATTTTTGATGTTAGGTGTCCATTTGAGGTCTTCAGATATTATAGAACCTAGAAACTTGAGGGCCTCTACTGTTAATACTGTGTCATCTAGCATTGTAAGAGGTGATAGAATAGGAGGGCTTCTCCTAAAATCTACTATCATCTCTACAGTTTTGAGTGTGTTCAGTTCAAGATTGTTCCAGCCACACCACAAGGCTAGTTGTTCAACTTTCCATCTGTATGCAGATTCGTGGCTGTCTTGAATGAGACCAATCACTGTTGTATCATCTGCACACTTCAGTCCTTTTACAGAGGGATCCTTTGAGATGCAGTCGTTGGTATATATAGAGAAGAGTAGTGGAGAGAGCACACAGCCCTGGGGGGGGGGCTGTGTTAATTGTACAGGTATCTGGTGTAATTTTGCCCAGCTTCACCTGCTGCTTCCTATCTGTTAGAGATCTTGTGACCCACTTACAAGTGTAGTCAGGCATGGCTAGCTGAATCGGTTTAGGGAGAAGAATATCTGGAATGATGGTATTGAATACCAAGCTGAAGTCTACAAAAAGAATCCTTGCATAGGTCTTTGGAGATTCAAGATGTTGTATGATGTGGTGCAGAGCCATATGTGACAGGTCCGGCTCAAGGACACCACTTTGGCTTCATGCTTAAGGCAGGACTAGAACTCACAGTCTCCTGGTCCCTAGCCTCCTGCTTTAACCACTACACCAGACTGGCTGTCTACATGGTATTAAGAGCTGAAAAAAAAAAAGAAATGAAGGGTGGGGGGGGGAGTCAAAAGTGAATGGCCTCCAGCTTTTCTTTGTGATAACCTTTTCTCTGCTTTTCATATTCTTCT